ATGTTTTGTCTTGGTATTGTTTTTAATCGTAAAGATAATCGGTGATCTCTAGTGAATTTTTTGAGTTTCCTGCATAAAATTTGGTAGGCTGTACCGCAATTTGCTTCTTGTACTAGACCAATAAATCTAGTACGGCTAACCCCACTGATCAACACTAGGAGATATATGTTAATTCTTGTGCTTGAAAGATGCTGAAATCAACCGTCTGAACTATTAAAGAGGAAGCAAGTTTTCTAGGAACTCTATGCACTGTTCGTTTTGGAACAATAATGGCGGTGGCTGCATGTAGACAGATATCTACCACGCCTTTTTTGGAGTTTGGTCAGTTGATTATGAAGTCTCAGTTAGCCATAATTACCTCACCCATCGACTGGAGAGTAGCCGATGCTTGCAATTATTCCAATCGGAACGAGGAAGTCCGATTATCGTCTGATTAACACGAGGGTTAGCATGAGTTCCGTGGATTTGGATGCACTTCACGTATACCAAACCATTCTGCCATATACAACAATTATACTGTTGCAATAGGTGGTCTCCTAAACTAAGTTTGACTAGTATGAGGTTGATGGGAGGGAGGAAACATCTCCGAATGGAAGTAACTTAACCGATAGAATCAACTAGCCTTATTTTTTGAAAGAAGTTTATTCTGGTTAGAACAAGCCCAATGTAGGAATTTTGACTTTGAATACCGTCTACAGTTTGTCACCCCGATGGGGCAACAATGATTATATTCTGGCGTGTTCTTGAGGACACAGCCTACAAAAAGGAGTCAAAATTTGACCAAAGTAATTATCAGATTCTTTTTTCGGATTAAAAACTTAAAGGAAAGAAAATAGCCAACTCCAACAATATGATCAGAAACCTTATGAGAAGTACATTAAGTCTATACAATGTATGGCGATATCTCGGATATCGTACCGAATGAAACATAAGGTAGCCTGGTACAGCATATTCAGTTGCTTAAGAACGTCATAAACGAAAAATTCAGCTGGCATTCAGGTGAGTCTCCGATCAAATCAAATTGTTATGCGTATTAGTGTATAAGTCAAATTTCATACAATTTTTGTCCAAGTAGTTGACGGAAACTCAAAGACTGCGCATACCTGATGAGCCCCAAGAAGAGTCAAGTGATTTCAGTAACCAAATGAGTAGTGTATTGCGTCGGTACAATGATCAGAAACACTGTGAATCTAGTACTCACCAGAGGAAATCGAATGCTGCAGAAAATTTATACATTTGATGACATGGGTTGATTCTAGTAAACAATAAGAACAGAGATTAATCGGACACCGAGGTTTGACACATTGGCCGGCCCAAGTGTGCCTATAAATACTACCACGTTTCGAAAATACCACGGCAAAATGTTTAATTGGACTGTTCCAAATGAATACAATCGTGCAATTTAGCAAGAAGCACGATTCCCATAGTGACGGTGGTTTAGTTCTCCAAAGCATGACCAGAAACGCGTCAAAGTATTATGTCTCAAATACCTGAAGGAACGCACAACTTTGAGGCGGTCAATCCTGAATGAGAAGCTGCCTCAAGAGGAAACAAAGTTTCTTGTATGGAGAAAAACATCAAATAGTACCGTATATGAAAAGAATACTGATTTTGAGAATCTGAAAGAATAGGGGTGCGCTAAAAGATACTAAGAAGGAGTCCCTGTTGTGTGGAAAAAGAAGTGGTTGGTCGCAGCGTTTGAAATAGAAAGATAAACGTTCAATTCGTGAGGTATGTTTGCAATTGGATCGAGTTATATTGCGGACTCATATTCCGAGGTCACTATCGATTTCAGTCTGTTTGCAATGCTGTCAGCAATACAACGCCAATGCACCTGACACGATAAATCTTCGCCAACGCTTGTTAACTCATGAAGATTAATTACCTCCAACAGCCGTAAAAATCAGTCGTACGACAATTAACCATCGTCCTGTATACTTAACTAAGCCATAGTGCAGTGAGTTAGTTGATATCAGTTTGTTTCCGATCTCAAGATTGCGATGGTAGACCACCATCAATCCCTGTTCCTCTCGCGTTACATTCAACTCACGCGGTTGAACTGCTCTGCCTACGTCTGTGTCTTAGGTGTTCGGAACGGTTAAGATCACCTAGGACAAGCTAAAACGGTGGAAGCTCACAACTCACTCAAAAAGTTTGTTTACGCACTGCGGAACCTTTATCCAAAGCGTGTCCTTAGGTAGAGACTTACCTAACGTGCCACTGACGATAATCTTGAAAAAGAGACTTATCGCACAGCCGGTCTGCCGTGAAAAAGTTCACCACCAGTGGGCCTACCAGTAAAAGCAGGAAATCCTTCACTGAGGAGACACTTTTAACAAATACGAAGTGAGTGGTTACAAGGCATTAAACACAAAAGTAAATATCTTATATGCACATCATTTTTAAAAGATGAACATTCTCACGCATCCCCCTCAACATTCCTGGATATTCATTGACTATTCCGGAATGATAAGCGAACATCGCAAAGCGGTTTCACAATTGCTGTAATAAACCTCACCCGATGTGGGGACGGAGCTCCGACACCAGACCATAGTTTACTCGTGTGCTTCATCAGTATTATACACCGGTACACCGAAAAACCGGAAGGATCTCATTATCGTATGTGCAGCTACAGTCGGTCACCGGCGGGATAGCAAAAAGCACTTGACCATGGGAACGTGAGAAGGATTATGAGTACTTTGCATCAACGCATATGAGCGAATGGGTACTGGCTCTCGAAAATGGTTGGAGTGAAGTGGTTATTTAGAATTAACTGGTATTAGAGACACGAAAGCCTCAAAATCATGTTTCCATAGATGTCAACGGCAGAGTGGTGGTCAGACTAAAGAAAGTGTGGGATATACGAAAGAGCAGGAGTCTATGACCTTTTAACTGAGTGGAAGACTGCTCAAAATCGGGACCAGTTATGTAGTTGTACTTGGAGGTGCAACAAAGTGGGTTGCCTTGAACTGAAAGAACAAGGAAATAGCATTGAAGTCTTTCTCATTTTTTTTAAAACGTTTGTCAGTTCACACAAGTGGTGTTCTAAAAAGGTATGGGGTTGAGTTCGGATGGCGTTGATCACCTACCAACCAAAAACATCCACTTTCGTTTGGGTTTGAGCATGTTGAATGCGACAATGTCAGGTGCTCTGTTTGATCAGAGGAAAGTCCCGTGTAAATAAGTATCTATGGGACTACCCTGCCTGGAGAACCGTCGCATTCCTCGCGACCGACTTGAGAGGTGTTTCGCGGGATAATTCAAAGAGCCGGAAGCACACGGAAGTGCCGTCTGGTTTGGGGAACTCCACACCAACTGGGTATCACATAAAACCCAGAAGGACTACAAATGACGAATGTGATTGATTGATACTACTCCATCGAAGTAAATGGTAAAAGGTTTAACTGACATTAGGGAAAGTGACGCAAAGCTACTCTCTTTGATCATGTGAATGCACCATTTGGATTATTGTTGATGACGTGAGCACAAAAGAAATTGATTTGCGAGGTTGAGAAAGAGTTAAACTGGTTGCATTTCTCTGATTACCATTACTGCTAAGTGCAGTTGTTCGCGATGATACTGAATTTTTTCTTAATTTGGGCGCTTGAAACAAAAGGGTTGGATAGGCTATTGAGGAATGTAGTTGAATATTCCTAGATTATCAATCGGATGTGTCAATCGTCCCATTCTCAATCGGGTACTGTTGGTGCAGTCGAGCGAACAGAGTTTTTCTACTTCATACATTTATCTAAGCTAACGTCGTCGGACTCGATAGTGGATTCTAGATAACTGTTCGACCGTTGATCGCGTCCATTAGGAGCCATTCACGAAATTCATATTGTACAGCGAATTGTATCGCTGGAATTAGAGCTGCTATTGAGTGGTCCATAACCTACTACCAAGACACTTAGAACCAGTTTACTTCATGAGTACTTTTAACCACACCTATTACGTTATTTGCACTTCAGAGTTCGTTTGATTGTCCTGACAGTGAACACTGCACAGGAACGCAGCGTTTAACCGATTGTGAGGTGTAAAATTTAGACCTAAACACTTCAGCAATGGTTTTGTAAACCGAGCGTCAGAATCGCAGGTTTTGGCTTCCGTGTGCAGTGGACGTCAAGGTAACTGCCCGATATATGTGAGAAAGATGGGGTAGCCTGGTGAATATGTTGCGTTACGACAACCACGACGTGCAGTTTACTGATATCATCGTTGTTCCGGCCTTCAGTCTTCCGCTATCTCACTACACACCCGATTATTTTCATCCACTAACTTGTGCGTCCCCATGATACTTGTGACTGTGTAACTGAGTCATAGCTTTGAACGGTTGAAGAACGAAACGAGCACCATGCTAGGTAAAGCGCCTGGTCACCGAGCCAGTCACCAGGAGGGCAATGGCTAACTGATATCCCACGGAGGATTCTGTGGACGAATAACCTAAAACGGAACTGGAGGGTGACTTGTGTCAACTATGTTAAGACGATTCCGCGATGAAAAGTGATTCTGTCGGATGGTGTGTCAGTGGTTCAGAATTACAGTGATTTACTTACTATGACGGGCAAACTGACCAATTTGTATCTACTAAAACGCCAGGTTACACAAATCAGGGATTAAACGCAGAATACGAAAAGTTAAACATTCCGGGGTTGTGGACATTTGGGTTCCCTACGTTGATCTTCCCAAATCAGTCAGAAAAACCGCACAAAGTTTGCCCTTTACCAGCAACTATGCAAAGATCTCTACAATTCTGGAACCAGCGTAATATGCAAGTCTCAGATTACACAGTCCTCGTCGAATTTCTTAGAATGACAGCTGTTGGTGGATCATCAAAGGAGGTGATAACTATCTGTAAGCTTTCAACAACCTGGGGCTTCAATCTCATAGATTTCACTGCCCAGTACTTGAGCGTACCACTATCGTACATGAGCTATTTTCTCACCATGTGCCACACTTCGAACTAGAAGCAAAATTTAATGTTCATTCTTTGGCCATTTTAGATCGGACAAGTCTTCGCCGTAGACCTCGATGCCGAACCACCAAACAACCTCATTCACTATTCCATGCGATCAGTACCTGGGCCGATCGGACAAGTGGCCAAAAAGTACATCACTGTCAGTCAAAACGGAGTGATATACACACACACTACAAAACTAGACAGGGAACAAACACCCGTGCTCACGTTTCAGGTGGTCGCTACTGATTCAGGAAATCCACCGTTGTCAGCATCTGTCAGTGTATTACTGCGCGTTTTGGATGTGAACGACAACAGTCCATTGTGGTTGTTCCCGATACCTTTTGATACTTCATCCGTCATAAATGTGTCCCAACATGCTACTATTGGATACCAACTTGCACAGCTCAGGGCAACGGATCCGGATGAAGGACCAAATGGGGAAGTCAATTATGCTATTCTGCATGGCAATGAGGACGAATTTTTCGAAGTGGATTCAGTAGGTGGGGCTTTATATCTCATAAAATCTCTCTATCGATTCCCTTACAATGAGACAGAAAAACGAAAACCGCCACGGGTCAGGAACCATTCGGAATCCACGTTGTCTCTGAGACAACAGAAATGGGTTCCTCCCCATGCAGAAAGCGTCTACATTCATAAATTGGTTGTCAAGGTTAGCGATCGAGGCAGTCCATCGTTGTCTAACACCACAGTCTTGTACATTGCCATTTACCCTGCCCGACTCTCTGAATCGATGGATGATGATATTGGACAACACAGTGGCCAAGTTCAGCAGCGCAATATTCATTTTGCTCCTCATCGTTTTGATCATGACCTGGTCGTCATGATTGTACTTATCGCACTGACTTCGCTTATATCTCTTGTTCTCATCCTGGCTATTTGTCTGGTTCGATGCAAACACGTGCAAACGGTTCAACGTTCCCTGCAAATCCACACCGGCCTGCAGACAATCAGTGGAACAGACCGCACAAAACAAGGCATCTTCAGAAGCTGGTGGTCAGCACCCATGCGGGTTATTTTTGGCAGACAACACTCGCTAGAAAGGGACCACGGGGAGGTGTGTTCCAAACCCGACGGTTCGGAGGTTCATGGGCTACAGCACATCAGTAAGAAAACTAGTGTCTTTTTCGATCGTCTGTCAATATTCTTTACCTGAAATTTTCAAATTCAACAAGATAAGTGTTCAGATAAAACCATGTGTGGTCTATCGGAGGGTTTCCCCCACCAGTAGTTTCCTTCAGGTGGGAAATCGGACAAGGATAGCAAATTTGGCGTCCTCATTTTTATCGCCCCGGGCAATATTTTTCCATGGTTACAGTAAGAGATGCGAAAGACATCACTGATATAAAATCTGCATTGAAATTCTGATAAAATGCACATTGCAGGACTACTTCTCCTGGCATCCTATTTGACTAAGAGTAGAGTGTGATTCTTGCTAAACACAATTCTTACTAAGAATGCTCTGTTGTGGTTTGCCGCAAGTGACTTGCCTGATAGATACACTTTGGTGAAAACTATCCAAAACACTTCATTATTACTGGTTCTTATTAGTTGACAAAATGTGAGTTCATATTACTGCTGATCCATAAGAATTACACATAGTACCAAAAACTCCGAACTTTCCCCACAGATTATCTCCAGCTGATAGGATGATGACCTTTGGGGTGATTTTTCTACTCCAGTAGATCGCGTTATTCATTCCATTCTTTTAATAATGATTGCCGGTATCATATTGTTTTCTTGTCAGTTTTTCATCATGTTTAGGTCTGTTAGTGGCGCGCCTGGGATATGCATAGGCGCGAAGGGCTTGCGAACAGCCCCACAGTCAGTTCCAACAGACCATCCTTGAATTTCTACTGTGTGCAGGCATCCAGTTGTTCGACTGCTGTAGACCGGCAAATCCCATCTAAAGCCTTCCAATCACTGTCACAAAACTTTTTAAACGGCAACTGAACGTGCTTAAGAAAACATAAATTATTTCCACTAATAGTACGAGCCCCTAGTGCTCGCGACTAGAAGTCACAAGTGGGTCACCAATTTAAACCAATGAAGAATCAGTATCTTCTCCCAAAAATGAACATTTTTGGACGGCATTCAACGCAGGGGTAGCCCGAGAAAAAAGCATAAGAAGTCATATTCCAACGAACAGTAAAGATGTTGGAAGATGCTGATGCAGGTGACTAATGACGATAGAGATAGTGTAACGGAGTTACTTCAGAAGCAGAAGCCAGGTTTTAAAAATTTTACCCTAGAAGGTAGTATCTAATGATGTTTCAAAACCATGTGGGTAAACCGGTTAGGCGAGAATGGATCAAATTTGAGGAAAAAACAAAAGAGCGAGCATTTTGTGAGCCCTAATAGTGGCGATTTTGATGCCAATGGAAAGCAGCTTGTTACATAAGTGCAAACCAAAGTAGGGGCAAGTGAGATACTGTGGATTCCAGTTAGTAGAATTTTCGGTAAGTTTCCTTTGAAAGCTTTCCATGCTTCTTTCGAAAACTGGATTCAACCATTACAAAAAAACTGGAAACACTCCTTGTGCCGAAAGCTTATCTAGGTCTAATAAACGGCACAACGTATGTGGAATTTCCTTGGAACGAAACCAACCCATCTTGGTTTAGATCAATATAGAAAACAACCTCGAATAATTTCTCGCACTTCTTATCATCCTATCCGCACGCCAACCTGTCAAACCAAAAACACTCGACCTGTCAGACTGGCATACGGATATAATACCATACCAGATGCGATTTTGTTCCACTCAGTGGGGCAGTCGCCGCAAAAATATGCATCAGAAAGAAAAAAGTAACGAGCCAACGGATACCGGGTTTGATCTGTCCACAACGTGATACATATTTACTTACTATCGTGAATAGGCTTTAGAAACACTATCGAGGTATCAGAACTATTTTGTTTTGTCTTCCAGCAAATCGTCATTCATGGGGCCCAACAGACATGTTGGTAAGCAATGGTCGCGCGGCTTTTCGGATCACCCGAGGAATTTATTTTGAGTGATACACAATAGTTGATTGAACATATGCTTGACGATTTGTCGGAAACACAGTGTATGCACGTGTGAGCTCCTACAGTGATAGATACTTGTGGTCAGTCTTTTGTCCGTAGGTCAAATCGAATTAACGCCTTGGTCTCATTGAATACCACTCAATGAAGTGGCAAGCATTCACAAGCTTCAGCACACCCGCAAAAATCAGCAGCCCGCAGGGATGAGGGTCCTCGCTAGAGATTGAGTAAAGAGTTCGTATTTCGTACTCCTTGGATGTTTGATTATCTTATCACTTACTCAAGAGTTGATCATCTCGTGCAAATCTCAACGAATAATCGATCCGATTTTGTTGAATAAGAGGAGGGAGCCGAATGAAACAGTACCAAGACACTGGCAGCGAGATAATTTGTTTTTCGTTGAAGGGTATTGCTAAGGGTGTGGCAGCATAGCTTCATATTCAGTCTGAGAACACTTAGCACCGTTTCTTATCACTCGCTGGCTATTAAATGGCAAAAGTAATTTTCAAAAATTTTCTCTTTTGATTCTCTCTTCATTACCCACATATCTAAACAGACTAGAACCACTTCAAGTAAACTGTTCTAATGTGGCAACAAGAGTATTGTAAGCTGTTTTCCGGTATAATTTATACTACTTACTTCCTATGAAACATTACATTTTAAACACTTGTGAAGAAGCATTATCCGAAAACTCCTCCAATAACGTCGATGTGAGTGATCCCTTCACCGATTCGGACAACAGGCCTTTACTTTATAATCGGAAGATGAGCACAAGCTAATACCAGGGAAATTTAGTGATACGAACACATTTGGGCTAACAGGTTATATCAGTGGAAGGAAGGAGGCCTTTGCAACGGAGTTATTTAATAGAAAAAGCCAACTGACCGATTACAGACCACTGGGCAGGGAAGCTAAACTCTCATTTGCATCTTATTTACAAAAACTGGATATCCATCTTCTCCTGAACGCGTTTTCTTGAACTTTCCTGAATATTCATTGACTCCAATCATTCATCGCTCAAATCCGAGCAAATGTTACAAAGCGGCTCCACGAATCCGTAACAGATCTCCCCTGTTCAAGAGACTCAAAGCAAAATTCCACGGACAACACATACTACTCGATTGCCTCCCCATCAGTAGTTTCGCCTTTAAATCGGTATCACTAGAATTCTTTGATTAGTTCCCTTGTCCACTAGTGTACGATACATTGGAAAACTTGCCTGTTACCTACCTGATATGGGCAATCATGAAGGACTTTGCTTGAGATGTCTGACATTTACCAAGTCATGGACCAACCATGAACCCATTCATAAAAATATGTTTCGTTCATAAAAAGCTGAACCGAAAAGGTAGTCTGGTTCTCACAGTTCTGATGGAAAGTGGAACAAATGCAGTAGTTCGTCCTTATAGCTGGCTATGAAAAGTACGTTTTTTTAATCAGCCAAGTTCAGTCTGCGAATATTGTTACATACAGTTCGTTTCCTGAGCTGATTCATCCTGTTGGCTGCCCACTTCAGATCTCATTTTCTGACCAAGTCAACAGAAAAAGAGTCATTTTAGATTGTTAACCGAACCTGTCTCATTTATAAAATTGAGTATTTTCACACCGCAGCGACCACTGGGTGTTCACCGACGTCTTGAGTAAACATGGATAACTTTGTGAACTTTTAAGGGTAACAGTAACCCGACCGCATTTTACCAAACTTCAGACCCTTCTCATTATTTATTTTGAAGTCCTGAGGATGTACAGACATGAACTTTTTCTTGTGCTTAGAGTAAACAGTCTTTGTAACTCTATGGGGAAGTTCTTCAGAATTCCAGTTCTTCCTGAAGCAGACTTGTTTAAAAGTTTTTTGTTTCATTCTTCAGCGTAGTAAAAAAATTCTTTTTTTTAGGCAGTTCACATCCCACACCCTAATTATAGGATCTTAGACACTGGATCGTAACTACCCTGTAAGCCGTAAGCCCGGATAACAACGATCTGAAAAATGCGCTTCTACTCCGTTACTGAACACACTTCGTAGATTCACTAAATCTGCCGTAAGTAGACGATACGTTCATTTCAACTCCGGTCAGTCAGGTTGGCCGCAATACACAATGAATGTGCCATTCCGGCATTTTATGTTACCGCTGTTAAGCGTGGACTTCCACAGACACGCAAGATGCAACCGGATGAGTTAATTCCAACTAAACCAACAACCTACGGAAGAACCTTTATCCAAAGTACATCGAGAACCTTTTCAAAGCAACCCAAAGACGGGATATCTCACATAAATAAGTTGTATCGGTGCTTGTTCCTGTCAGATACGTTCAAATATGCCCATTCCGATACTTTTCAAAGTTTCTAGAAAGTCGAACTAGTATGACAAACCTGGAAATATTAATTTTGTGTACGTAATAGATGAGCCCGAATACTTGTGCCACTAATCCCCACGTGTACAGTTCAACTGCATACTTACGACGAAGTGTATTGTTCTCGGAACATGCACATTCATACTTTGGAAGTTTGACACTTTGTGTTTTTACCTCCCCTCAGGTGTTCTTTTTCGTTTATAGCAATACTGTATTGGCTTTTCGCTTCACATTTGCTTGAGAAACATCAGTCATACAACCCCAGTTGTGTTGTTTCTCATCTTAAACAGGTTCGTCTCCGTCCAAACTTGCAATATCTGCAACCTACACTACTGGTTCTCCGAATAACACTTCAGGAAGTTCGGAGAAGGATGCCTATTTCACCATTCATCCCTATACATGGAATTCAAACAGGATTGGCTGCAACCTGGACAGGTATCCAACCCTAGCGCCAACAGTAGACCCTGCTGGTAATACTTTCATGGTCGAAGTCAGTCCTGACCTGATTGAATCCACCTATTCGGTACTCCGTGCAAAACCCTTCAGTGGCCATGAACCAGTAAAAGCCGAGTATCAGTCGCTGTGTCTTCATCAGATTTGTCAACTTCACAATCCCGCGGAAGATCCAGCTGACCCATGTGAACTGTATCCACATCCCAAAGAGAAGACATCATCGGGTTGTGTATTTGGCACCAGTGACATGTACAACAGGATGAACGAAATTGTTGAGGCCCAGTCCTTGTTGATGAATAGAACAAGTACTCATTGTGAAACCTGCAGACGCCCCGTGCTCAAAACATTCTCGTCCAGTGAGCAGCGTTGCTCGAAAGATCGAGATGGTAATGAACACAACCAATTTACTTGCGATCAGACGGGTTCCTGAGAAGAACTCACGAATCGAAACATTGTATTAGATTTTAACTTCGTTGTGCACCCATATTAAGTTATTTACATGAATGCTTTTGTACTACAACGGTTAGTGTTTCGTGCCTCATACAAAGACAACCCATCTTAGTACCGTTTAAGTCATGGGGGATAGTGTTCAAGCCAACTATCTACAGCATTGGTTAGCCCGTTAACCGAACACAGCCAAGCTGTTGAAGTGAATCTTTCTGGCTTTAGCCACATTGAATCTGTTACAACAATGGGGCCAAAAATATCACCAGTGGGAAAGTGCGTTCTTACGAGAAAGGGTACTTTTGTTACCACAGCTCGGTTTTCTGTGGCTTCTCAGTCGAGTCGTGTTTTTATAACTTGTCCAACTTCCTTACTACTTATACCAGATGGGGGTAGCATTTGAAAGTATAATTTGATTGCTGGAAGGAATGGGGCGAAATCCTTGGCATAACTTTGAGCCTGGCAAATGAAGATAATCGAAAGTCGCTTATATCCAAGCTTTCTGAACACAGCAATACGGTGATACATATATATAAACTTTCTTACTACTTATACCAGATGGGGGTAGCATTTGAAAGTATAATTTGATTGCTGGAAGGAATGGGGCGAAATCCTTGGCATAACTTTGAGCCTGGCAAATGAAGATAATCGAAAGTCGCTTATATCCAAGCTTTCTGAACACAGCAATACGGTGATACATATATATATATATGTATAAATGTATATATATATATATGTATACACTATGCACCAACCAGTATAATAGTATAACAACGGGGGCAGGCTCTTGTGATTAAGGTTTCATCAAGGTGCCCGAGTTATCCATCAATTCATTTAAGTTTGCATATAGTCTTGCTCTCGCTGTGCAGGATATCATTTCCGCGGTGGTTGTTCAACTTACATGGACTTCACTTCTTTCAATACAGAGAAATTACCGTATATCCTTGAAATCTTGTGGGGCGTCTTCCGACTCTCATAATGTGTATAGTAGATGATGTTGGTTCCACAGCGTCGGTCCTCCTCGCTTGAACAGTTTTTCAGCTTTTCTGTTTTGCAGCTGTCCCGTGGCCGTCAACGGTTCCGCGGCTGGTGACGAGTCACCTTCGTAGATTCCCCTTTCATGTTAGAGCAGGTGAGCTTCACAGCTCAAATCAGTTGATTAATGTCCAAAAGCGGTGTTTCTATGCTGCAAAAATTTAATCTGGCTTATTTCAGTAGTTCATTGGTTTGTTTGTCTTCCATCAACCGATGTTATTGAATTTTCGGCCTATGGGTCTTTTTTAGCGCCAAAAAAATAATTTGTTTTGGCAATATCAGTCTGCGTACGATCGGAACATTTCACTTTGTTTGGCCCATCACTCATTTCTCGCCCTAAGCCGGGGATTAGAAAACTGGTTCCTGCAGCTTTTGCATTGTTTCAGGACCCCTATTTTGATCGGAGTGTGGACGGTTTTTGACAAATAATAAGTTCTCTCCGTGGATCAGGGTGGAAGTTGGGTCATTCTCATCAAACCAATCTAGTCTCCTCAAAAGCTGCTTGGATATGTGCGCGTATTTAGGCACAGCACATTTCGGTTGTGTATTGAACTTTGCATCGCCGATTCGCATAGCTCCATTTCAGTTTCCTCATTCCTCATCTTAATCACATCCAACTTGAATGAGTTCCCTTTTGTCCCACCACTTGGCATCTCTCCAAGGGCGAAACGTAATTTGACACTGGAAGTGATCCATATTGTGTTCAGCTCCACGCGTCATTTTTGTGATTATTAGGTTACCGAGATTTGGCCACGCAACGATGTAGCCCACCGCTTGGATGTGTCCATGAGACATCCGTTGACTGCCCCACAATAAACCAGGTGATCGTTGATGAGGTTTCTAATGCAGTACACATTTTCAATAATCTTTGGCTGTTTTCTGTTCATTGATTTGGTTCTTCATGGACTCAATATCTTGTTTCAGGTTTTCCAAACCTTGCAATCAGGAAAACTGAGTTACCTGGAGGTGCAGATTTGACCAGTTGGTCATGTAATTTGTTCGCTTCCTCATCCGACTGTACAAAATTAGGATACGGGCGATGGTAAATGTGAAAACATTGCTTTCAATAGCGGTAATCAGAAGATCAGCATTATCGACTCAGCGCAGTTTAGTTGGTCGATTATGCTCTGATTCATCTGATCTCCAAATGCGAATCCGACACAGTGTTCGAATCGACATTCAAGGGTTGTTCTACCCAAAGAGATGTATCCAGAGCGAGCCCTCCGTGGCTTTCCTTGATTAGCCTGTGAGGTGAAGTTAGGCTTATTCTATGGCATTTGAGTGATTTTCCAACAAGAATAGTTAGCTCTCAAGGCGTATTTCTTCCACCTGTTTCCAAGAAAGTTTTCCCACTCCATGTTCCAAGTTGCATACGACGCAACCTTCTCATCTTTGCAGTCTGTATGTGCATTATTTTGACTGCTGAGCGACCATCCAGGACCTTTGACCGTGGAGCCTGATTCACAAAGCGGCATTAGTCCAACTTAACCCAAAGGTGCAGTTCATGGTTGTTACCGAAATATCGAACAATAAAACCTCGCCAATTAATCGTTGTGTTATTGTGTCAAAAAATGTTGGTAGCTCGTATAGCACCAAATTTGGTGTGTATATTCCCAACAAGTGGACATCTGCAAACGTGTGACAGTTCACTCTGCTTCCACGCTAGTTGTTGCAGCGGTGATGAAGCGATCACTGCTGCAATATCAGGAGTTAAAGTCATAGCGTGTCTAAAGTAGGCTGCCGGTGATCTATGAAAAAGAAAGAAAGTTTGATCCAGAGTTTGTCTACTTTCGTACGGAACAAAAGCAAGAAACTGATGCTAGGACATCTGAAAAAGTGCTCAAAAAAGGGCGATCTGAGTTTAGAAATCCTGTAACTACTCTGAAACCTTCTTTCGATCGCCTCCGACATTGGCATCACTGACAAATATAGCATCAATATCACCAATACATCACCAATCGCATCAAGATGCTCCAAGATTTTCATTCGAGAGCACCCCCTTTTTTGGAGAATTTTTGTGACTTTATTTCGTACACCGTTTTTTTTATTTCTCTAACTGTGTAGTAACACTATCTTGATAATAATGAAATGAATGCATACCAGAGCCAAAACGGCAACTCCATACGCTGTATTTCGCCGACTAAAATGATCGGTAAAAACGAATTGTTCAATTCCGGTGGGAAGCAGAACAGTGTATTTGGACGATAATAAATTGTAGGTATAGAACTCTTCTAAACCATACACAAGCACATGTACTCGCTCCGGCTATGGTAACTCAGCTGTTCAGGTGTTCTGTCCTTTGGTCATCAATCACTCGTTGTCCGATAATCAATGCTGACGTTCTGTATCATCAATTGAGCGCAACAAACCACCAGGCTTGATGATTATCCTATGTCTGAGCCATGTAGAGATACACTCGGGAAAAAATGCCGCCGCAGTATCCGGGATGCTCCATTTAGTGTCTTTCATTCTCTGTCGTTTTTCGTCGACATTTTGGTGATTCCGATTACCTTGGAAAACATAATTAACTGATCAAACAAATTTCACTGACAGACTAGTCCAATAGAGATATTTTCGTACAATGCCAAAATGAATTCGACACATATGTTTGCTATTTTTCTGATTGCACAGAAGCCAGTAATCAGGGATGTGTGGAGCGAACGACGAAAATATTATTTTCAGGAGCTAATCGCTAGCAGCTTTGATTTCCGGTATTACGCAATTGAGCAACATATTTGATCTGTAAGTATGGTTTAGCTGGGGTAACCGTTTGGTGCGCAGCTCCTACGTAAGTCGTGGGAAGTACGAGGGCTGAAGTAACGCCATGTTATATTAAACAGGGGTTCAAAGAACTAGGGCTGGATTCTAACCATCGACCGTCGGATCGATGGCTACAAGTATCCAGATCTCAGATCGTTGCTTATTAGTTTAGCTCAACAAAATTTGTGACAACTGAGCAATTCGTCTGAATTCGGGCTTTATTTCCTTACATACCTTTCTAAATAAAGTAAAGGGTATGTAGTTCAAACCGCTACGTCTATTATGCATTATTCGATAGTTGTTCCAAACAACAAAGCCACTATCTTGTGTGTACCGGGTTCAGAAGTGAATTTGCGCACCTACGATACTTCCTCGAACGGGTCGAAAACGTGTACACGACCACTTACGAATTCATCAAACCAGTCAGGAGATATCAATAACTAAGCAACCAAAACTTCTAACTTGAAGTTACATTTGAAGAAAATCAAACTTACAAATCAATGTGGTTTTCACGAGGGACTCAACTGAATCTCTCGGTTATGAATTTCTACAACTGAATGTGCTGCACACAGGCCGCCTCGTGTTTCATTTGGCACGATATTCGAGATATCGCAGTATATTTTCATAAAGAAAACTACTCACAAGGTTGCTGAAAACTCTTTGACCGCCCATGACCAGTTTTCAGTTGAGTCTACCTCGTGGAAACAATTTGGTCTGCAAATGGGTGTATTTCTTGAGAACAGTCCAATTGGGGTTCATGTAGGGCATAAGGCTGACGGAAACTCGGGGACTGCGCCTACCTGATGAGCCCCAAGAAGGGCGAAACCGGTCATGGACTGTCGAAGTGTTTTCAGCAACCTTGTGAGTAGTTTCCTTTATTAAAAAAACAAGTTTACCTTTTTGAAGACCACTTAAAAGGGTACACTTGGTAAAGAAGTACTGAGGGTAGCCTTTTAAAGATTTTCAAACTGCAGCATTTTGGTGTTTTAATGGTCAACTCAACTAGTTTAGATAAGCCTCACCACTGTTTGCATTCATTATCAGTAGAAAACTCCTGTTGACTAGTCCTTGTTCCTCGGGGAATATTGTATTTTTGTTGAATCGATATGACACTTCAAACAGTCGCCCGGTCCACGTACAGCAACTTATTTCTTTGGCGGTACAAACCTTGAAAACTGCAAGATGAAATCT